AGCCATCCCGGGGTTTCTGTTCACGGGAGGACTCGGGGTCACTGCTGCAGGAGACACAACGCTGCTGGCAAAGGCCGAGCGCGGGACGCCCTCCCCCCGGAGGCCTGGGGCCAGTTACCCAGGCCGGTGTCCCCGCCGAGGCCAGGACCGGGCAGCCGGCGCCGAGAGGGTGCAAAGCCGTTCTTGGACTGCCCTCCTGTGGCAGGGGTCACCGCAACAACTACCACGGGCGGTCCCCACCGCAGCGGGACGGCCTCGGCACAATCCCGCCGCAGGGACCCCACGGCCACAGGCCAGCGCCTCCACGGGAGCGCCTCATTTACTGTGCGGCCTGCCCTTGACAGAGGAAAAGGAGTTGCCCGCTCTCAGCTGCCGGAAGCCAAGAATAAAACCCGTGGCAATGCCTTCGCTCTCTCAGAGGAGACTAAGCTTCCTCCCTCGCTCTCTCCATCGCGCTGCTGGGAGGGTCCCCTTGTGTCCCTGTGCAGCAAAGAGATGGCACAGTAATGCACCCCAGTTCTGCCCTGGGCTTGCGCGCAGGAAAACAGGGAGGGCCTGTTCCATACCCTGGCTGCCAGAGGTGTGGAAACTGCCAGTACGCAGGCCGGCCAAACTAGCACAGCCACCAGCAGCTTCTCAGTTTTCGGCTTAGCTGCACTTTTGACTAAGACTGTACTACAGTGGCCAAAGCTTGACCTTGCCGGGGAATTGGGTCCCTAAGGCTCCCTGCAATGTGCAGAAATCATGAGGTGGGTCTTCTGCTAGGCATCAGGGAGAGAATGAGACGTGACGGCATATTACAGATATGAGGCTGTGCTTATGATCAGTTGTAAGTACGCTGTAAACAAGATTAAACACATTTAGAGAAAATGTGTAGAGTCAGAAACCTCCTGTGTTACTGGAGTCAGCACTTACAATTCCTTCTGGGTCCACCAGAAGAAGATGCTTGGCTTGTCCGTTGTGCATGCCTGTCAGCACATAGGAGCCGGGATTCGTGGTACTCTTCCTCACAAGGAAGTCTCCACATTTCTTTAACAGCTGTTCTGCTTCTTTCCTGCTCATCTCTCCTTGATACCACGGCTCTGTAATCAGCTCTTCCACTACAGTCCAGTCAGCTGCTCTGGACAAGAGAGGACTGGTGCATCCCATGGAGGTGGATTTCCTCAATGCAGCCTCAGATGTTTGGTTCTTGAGGGCATCTTCAAATGGTTCTGGTTACGGAAATAGAAACAAGGGCAAGATCATTCAGAGGTAAGTCATGTTACATAACTCACATGTCCAGTGATTTTTAATTGGATTTATTTTGTCTTATAGCCACTTCCCTTTATCTTTACGAAAAAACTGAGGAAAGATGTGCTGCTAGGCCTACTGATTTATGGATTATATATTAAGATTGAGGAGTGTGTAATATGTTAAAATAATGTATGTTACAAACAAAGATGCTGATAAAAATCAGAGTGACTTTTGGCACTTCTTGGCAGGAGCTTTTGAAAGGTACTAATTTTATTTCAGTAATGGCTATTGTCAACAGTTGCATTTATATGCCCTGGTACGAGGCAGAGCTCTCCTTTTGTCTTGCCAGGTACATCACACATTTTCATTTCAAATAAATTGCATAATGTGGGTACTCAATGTCATTATACTCATATCTGGTCTCTCTTCAAAGAACATATTCATTTAAACATTATCCATTACTGAGCCTCCAGCCCAAGATCATGTCTAGAAGGGATCCACTGCCCTTACCGCTCAGCCTACCCTCAGCCTCCACCTAGGAAGAACTGGTGTTCTAATACTACTTTTCCCCTATGTTCCAACGGCTAATAAAGATTAATGAAGGCTGCAAGATGAAGAATTGGTTTTCTCTAGTTTTAGGAAGAGAATGTGTATAAAATAGAAGTAAGCATGTGCATGTTTTAAGGGCATCACATGTCAGAAATCAAGGTTAACATCCCTGATTACCAACAGCAGACTTTTCTCATTTCAGATTCACATTCACAGATAGATGCTCTCTCAACTTTCTTCCCTCTCCCTTTCTTTCCATCCAAAATCTCCCTAAGCTGTGGAAACAGAGCCATATCTCAGCAGAAACATGCCAGGAAGAGTTTTTTGTGTACCGAGATAACAGAAATGTAGATATGTTATTTTACAAATAACGTATAGGCACCAACTGCTTTGTCTCACTGCCTTTCAATTATGTGAACTTAACTAAATAAATCACCTGTCAGCAATTGATTGGAGGCAGGAAGAGTAGAAACACAAAGAAAATTTTCTGTGCATCAAACTGCTTTCAAATATCTCCTCAAGGCTGAAAAAAAAAATGTGTACTGGTAGCCCCAGTATTAAATTATGACTGATGTTTAAACCATTGTTTTACAGTTATGGCTATGATTCTAACTTTAGAAAAGGTGACTTCAAAGTTGGAATAGTTAGCTATATAGGATAGTAGGCCTGTCCAGAGCAAGGGATAACTCAGTCTTTCAATTTCCCTCCCAGTGTCCTTGTTGCACAACATTTTTGGAGTATGCCTCGACTTCCTGATAAACGTTCACAAGACAGGCTGGAGCTAATTTTCCAGCCATTAATTCCTTCACTTTCCTGCATGACAAGCCTCCTGATTTATCTTCTTCTGACATAGTTGCCTGTGATGCTAAGGATAAGACAAACTGCAGCTCACCTTAACTCAGATATAATATAAACTAGCTTCAAATCTTTGGCGACCCTTATTTTAATTTGGTCCAAAATGAAACCACCATGAATTCTAAAATTCACCATAATTCCATGAGAAATCCTAAATTTTAAAGCAATTTTTATATAGAACTAATGCATAAACACATTGGGTCACTTCTGAGAAAGGGAGTGAATAGAAAGGGAACTCACTCATGTCAAACAGATCCTTTCCTGGGCTGCTCTCCTTGGTATCATCTGGTGTTCCACTGAAGGTACTTTCAGCTTCTGCCTGACGTGCCAATAGAGCTTCTCCATCTATATGCTGAGTGTTTACATATGTTGGCATCTCTGTTGTTGGGGTTACTTGTGATTTCCCTCCTAGCATGCTACAAATATCTAGCGATCCTAGAAAATTCAAGACTTTTTTGTTCTTTTTTGTATTTGACAGAACAGCGTTGTTATAATGAGCAAATAACATCACACCCCATCACGACAAGTTTAAAATTCCCTGGAATGACAGATGTAAAGTCAATAACTGCAAGAACATCATGTGTCATTTGTGGAGCAGAGATCATGTGCAAGCACATGCATTGCTCCACATTTTTAAAAAACATCTGACTTTTGGCTCTTCCTTTGGCAACTCCATCTTGCAGACTCTAGTGGATCAGATTTTCTGAACAGACCGTGCAGCTTGTCTTTAAATACCATGTCATTTTAAGACATGGAAAGCCAGAGAGGTGAAGGTTTGGGGCAACTCTCTTTGCCAACTGCTCTGCAAATGATAAGATTTTATGGAGGTGTGCATTTTACAAGTTATCCCAAGGTAATTACCAAATACTTTTCACTGATATCAACACTAAAATACAGACAAAGGGAATCTATCAACAAACTGCAGTTCATTGCCCTAAGACTTTGAGACATTGGACTTTCACATGCTTTGGCCACCCAAGACCTCCAGCAGTATTACAGCTAAAACTAGCAAAACTCACCTTGCTTAATAGGCCCGTGATGCCAGTCTTCACTGAATTTGTCTCCAAAGTGCCGACTCTGGTAACAGGTTTGCTCTCCTCCCACTCCTGCTGCAGACTAGAATGGACACATGTGCAAGGAAATTTTCGATTACCTTTAAATGCTCACATATTAAATTATGAGTGGCTCTGACAATTTCCTTGGCTGTATTCTGTGTACTCCCACTCTTCATTTCCAATTCATCATGGTGTCAGAATATATATCTCACAAATGTATTTGTGTAGGAGTAAGATATTACCGGTGGCCTTCACATAAACTTCCCTGCTTCCTGCTTTTATTAACCCCCACAATCCCAAATTATGCATCATCTCCTCTAGTACATTTGTCTTCACATAGCAAGCCCTGGCAAACCATGCCTGGGAAGAGCATTCCACAGAAACACACCTGGCACCAGAAGACACCCCCAGCACCCTCCAAAGCATGAGCTGAGAGACTCACATTGGTACCAGGGCATGCGCTCAGGTACTGAAGGCAGGATGTTGTCTACAGACAAGACCTCCCTGAATTTAAGCAGAGTTGTGCTGTATCTGAAAACTCCTCTTAGGTGGCTACATTGATGCTGCAGTCACACTTTCAACAGCAATGCTGGTAGAAATACCCAAGCCATCCTCAGTTCAACACGAGGTGGAAAACCTACCTAGGAACCTGGTGGAATACTGATTGCTGCCAAGTTATTAACATAACGAACTGTTAGTAATGACTGCACTAGACTGTTTAAACGATTCTTCATCAGATCTTTCCCAGTTAGTGTGCACTATTTGATACTGTCTGAAGCAGACATGCTTTCTACAAATGTAGTAACCCTCAGTGGATTTCTCTTCCTTGAACCTGTGTAATCTTTTAACACCATGAGGAACTCACCTCCTTTTGTTGTTCTGAACCTGCCAGATTTGTTGCCCCCTACATCTTCAATGCCCATTCAAAAGGAAACTGGCCACATATGACGGACTGTGAATGGTCCCCATGTATCCATCTTAAAATATACATTTTTAAAAAATTTTTGATCCATCAGCAGGAGGGAAGAGATGCAATTGCACTGACCTGAGCTGTATCTGCAGCAGTGGGAAGTCTTGCTTTGAGCCTGGCATCAATGAAGCCGCCAGGAGGGGGCATTTTATTTGGGATGTTGTTGTAATAGGGATGTTCTATTGTCTCATTATCTTCCTCCATCCACAACTCATCAAAACTCTGCATCCTGTAAGAAAGTGAGTGCTTTATTTTGCCCCTTGCTTGCAAAGCACTTGCAGATACTTGCAGCATGTTAAGGCTGCCTGTCAGGGGATCACTCTTGCATATTATTTTGACAATTTGGATCCCATTATAAATCAGGAAGCAATGACAGATCATGCAACAGACCTTCTCTGTTTAGACAAAGTAATCTAAACTTAATTTTTGCAATGATTAAGTTATTTATGCTGAGTAAAGGATGTTTTTACTTAAAGACCATTAAAAACTGCATTAACAAACATTTTTATTTAACCTTACGATATCATTTGTAATATTATTACTTGATTGATTGACTAAGCTCTAAAACTTTGTCTTTAATTATGGCTGCTTTGTCAGCAATATAAATCTGGAAGAAGTTCACAAAGTCAAGAGATCAGATCTGTAGTTTCAGTCTACATTTAACAGTCACTTACACAAGTCTAAAGTGAGTACAGAACGGTTCCAGATTAGGATAGTAGCATTTTATATTCATCATACACTCATTTTACTCTGATATAAGAGATGGCACAGGGTACCAGCTCACTGGGATTTATACTACTGTTAGCAAGTGTATAGCAATCCATGTCAAAAACACAACGGAACAAAGAAAACAGAATGCTATATCCCAGCCTTTTAGACATATACAAGCAGACAGATTTTGTATCCTCCAGAGAACAATGCAGTCAAAGCCTCTGTTGTACAATACAGCACATTCCTAAAAACTTCACTCTGGCTAATATCAGAAATAGTGAAACATCTCACTAGTCATTTTGGAAGCCCAGCAACTCTAGCTTACTTCATCTAAATTGACAGATCGGCTCTGACAGTAGCAATGAGAAAATGCCACAAATGACATCCATTCCTGGCCATCCAACTCTGTCTACTAACTACAACAGAAAAGGCATTATCATTTCAGTAAATCCATACTTAGCCTCCCCTTTTAAAATGACTGTGCTCCTTTCATATTCATTTGGCAAACATTGCTTTGCTAATTCAGCAGAAATCTCATTCTAAATTATTTAAATCCTGTCCGTCTCAAGCAACTTTGTCCACAGTACATTTTATTGGGAAAAGACAAAGCTAAAGAAGATGCTTTATCATTCTTCAGCAATCATACTCACCTATCATGGAAACTGGGTATTTTAGAGGGGCATCGCAAGTATTGCTTAAATCGAAGCTCAAACGCTTGCCCTATGGTGCTGATGACATCCTGGGCCAGGCCATCGCAGCATTCCAGTATATGACAAGCTAAATGAAAAAGATTTGACACATGCACATGCAAATCATTGTTTATGTTATGGTGGGATGCACTGACCTATAACAAAACACCTACATGTTAGTCATAGTTGCCCTATTCATAGTGTGCACAATTCAATAAAACCCAATTCTGGGACAGTGAATTTCAGGCAATGGGGTCTTTTAAAAATTGTTCTGGTGTGTAACTGCAATAGGCAAGACCACAGATCAGTTCCACAATTTTAACAAGTCCATAAAGACAGAAAAATAAAATTTTGCTTTTTATCAACTGAATGCAATAGATTGTATGAGAATTCTAAGCTTTAAGTTGAAATTATAAAAATATTAGTAGATGGTAGGAACAACAAAAAGCTTTCTTTGCTTTCCTCAATTTTATTACCACTTCATTTTCATGTCTAGTCACCCCAAGTTTGCAAGCTGTCCAATTCCAGAATTTTCCAAATTGCAGACTGAGGGAGGAATGTTACCAAGAATACTTCCTACATCCTGGGCCCTGATCTGATTCCAGTAATACAGAAGCTGGTACTTTTTCCTGCTTGTCTGTATGGCAGCACTCACAGCAAACCGCGGGATCACCGGGGAGCACAGAGACAGGACCCCAGTTACCTCCAGCACTCTGCCATGTGCCAGCTCTCTGGACCCACTGCGACAGAGGCAGTAAGGATGGAGGCTGGCAACACAAGCTCTCTTCCTATGGGCAGCCAAAAGACCTTTATCAGCTGTCTGAACAGCCAAATTCATCCTGGTTTTAAATCAGAGAATGGCTTGGAAGTATCATCTCATGTGATAACATAAACAGGTAAACTTGTGAACATTTCACCTAACACTGCAGGAACACAGATGGGTGTTAAGAGCTGGAAGCTAAAGATCTGAATGAACACCACCTCAGTGATACTGAGAAAAGCCCAGGCAAGTTCTTTTTCTATATTCAGTGCTGGACAAGTACATGGTCTACTGGCTAGAGCCTGGATTGGATTTGAAACTCTAGTTCTTTTCCAAGTCCTGACACAGCACAGTGGGGCCTTGTTCAAAGTTACTCATTTCTGTCACCTCTGACTGCTTTAACCTAAAATAAATTCTTCATCTGAAAAACTACATTTTAGTATAGGCCCAGTGTCTAACTCAGAGGAATCAAGAGCTTTGGATGCCAATGCCCTACAAATAAGGGTAGGTCATGACATTCGTGTGACATAGTAAAAGCAATATAGGGAGACTAAGCAGGTTTGGCAATGACTTTTCAGAGGCTGAGCTGCTGGACAGACTTCTGAAGAGGCCAGAATAAAGGGCCAAGGAACCTGCAGTTATGCAGGTATGGGATGACCAGGGCACCAACCTGTCTATCCCTCACCAACAGCAGCACCTCATGCAACATGAGATGGCATCAGTTACAGTGCTACCCCACTAAAAACATCCAGTGATGCTCTTTTCTCACCTTATAGCATCTGCTGTGCCAAACAGCACGCTGAGGCAATGCTTGACTTGGGGGAAATGTCCTTAGCTGCAAGTTGAAAGCAGATTTAGCAGCCAAAACCAGGACCTCCATGCCTTCAAGGACAGAGGCAGACATCCCTGGCTAGCAGCAGGATATTTGCTGTTTGCTACTTCTGTTCCACTGCTGGAGGCAGTGAACAATCAGCCCGCTGATAGGGTGCAGACTTACCTCCATGAGTATAGACCAAAAAGTAGTTAGGCCAAACAAAGCTGTAATTTTTGCACTCTGTAACTAGAGTGGGCATTTAAAGAGGCTGCATTGCTCACTGCTAAACCTATCTGGAGCTGAAATGAAGCATGAGTCATTAAGTAGTTTCGGTAGGTAGGTGACATAATGAGTAACCTGTTTCCTTGGATACCTGAACGGACTTTCAGCAGGTAGATGTGCTTCTTGTAAAAGGATGAGAAGGTTTGGCTCACACAAAGATGATTTCTTGAGGATGTTACTGAGGAAGACAGACAGCTTTTAGCTGGCTAGATCCAGAATATAAAGCATGAAGAGAGCTTTTCCATCCTTGCAAAGGAATGAGTCTAATATGCAAGTGAAAGTTATACTACAGCATCAGTTCTAGTGTCAGTAACAGCAGCAGTAACATTTTCACAAGATACAGAAGTAAATTCAGCCTCACTTCTAAAGTAATTTGCAGATAACATAGACTGACAGAATGGCCATTGATGGTGAAAGGGGGTAATCTAGATCCCTTGGTAAACTAGACCTTTTAAAAAAATATGTTTCAATACCGGTCATATACAAAGTCACTGATGTACAAACCACTGATGTACTTACACATATGAGGAAAGCTCCCATGGAAAGCTGTAATGCAGAAGGCTTAAAGATCATCGCCTGAAAGAATTTCACATGAGATAACAGTGCTTCACCGCAGTAAAAAGTTCTTACAAGAAACTAGCTAATGATGAGGACAAAAGCAAGTAAGAACAGGAAGGTGCAGCCTCTATTATAGATTGCTGACATTAATGTTACAATACTCCAAACAATAACAGGCATCATCTGCATTTTTAAAACAATGCAGAAAAATAAAAGAAGAACAGAAATTATCTGAAGGACAGAGGACATGCACTGCAGCTGGAAAGCTAGAGGTCATTGTCAGAATTTTCCTAAAGAAAACTGAGAAATTACTTGAACTAAATATACTACAGGAAGACAATACCAGGCGCTTAGATGACTCCTCGATCTAGGACAGACTAGCCCAAGGAACAGAGACATTTAACTTAGATATAAAGTCCATTAAACAGTTTTTATATAAAATCCGCTTGCATAGGAACAGAAAACAGAGCACAGAGCTCCTCCAAACCCTACAGTGCAAACGTTTGGTCTGCAATGCTGGTCCACGACGTTGCCACTGAGATCTCTCAGAACAACCAAATCAGTCCCCAGTTCAGCAGAAGGGTACTGCTAAGGCAGGTGGGGTGGAGAGCAGGTCTGCACCATACAGCCTACAGTTTGATGCCAGAGCCTTTCTAATGGGGGACACATGATGTCGGAACATCACAAGCATAGCAAAGAACTGGACTATCTCCCTACCTCCCACTCCCCATAAGTTTTCTAGGTGTTTCACTAATATTCAGCCTATTAGTATGTTCAGTGCAGGTATTATGAACTAACACTCTCAAATCTGGACATCTCTGCACGTGGACACAACAGATTGCTGAAGTATCTAAAATAATGAAAGGTGACAAAATACAGAAGCTATTGAATTAGTTGTCACCATGGTAAGGTGGCAGCTCAGGGTTTGCAGGGTTAGCATTTTGGAGTTAAAGTGTCTGAATTCTGCAGAAATCCTGTTGGAAGTGCTTGAGTCTTTTTTTGGAGCTAGTCTTTTTTTTCTCTATGAATCTATGAATAATAAATAGATTTTCAGGTACATTATACAGTACTTTGTATCTAGCATTAAGA